AGGGAGCGGGCACTGTCGGAGGTCGGTGCTGAGGGAGCGGGCACTGTCGGAGGGTCAGTGCTGAGGGAGTGGGCACTGTCGGAGGGTCAGTGCTGAGGGAGCGCCGCACTGTCGGAGGGTCAGTGCTGAGGGAGCGCCGCACTGTCGGAGGGTCAGTGCTGAGGACGGCACCATGGCTCAGTGGTTAGCACTGCTGCCTCACAACACCAGGGACCCGGGTTCGATCCCACCCTCAGGCAACTGTCTGTGCGAAGTTTGCACATTCTCCCCGTGTCTGTGTGGGTTTCTCTCCGGGTGCTCCGGTTTCCTCCCACAGTCCAAAATTGTGCAGGTTAGGGTGGGTTGGCCGTGCTAAATTATCCCATGGTGTTTGGGATGTGCAGGCTCGGTGAGTTGGCCATGGGAAATGTAGGGTTACGGGGAGGGGCGGGAGGGTGGGATACTCTTTGGAGGGTCAGTGGAAACTGAATGGGCCGAATGGCCTGCTCCCACACTGTAGGCATTCTGGGAATGCGAAAACTGGGAGATTCTGGTCTGAGATCTGGAAAACTGTGCATAGTCCTGGTTAACTGAGTGAGGTAGTTCAGAGAAGGGGTACTGGACAAATACCTGGGATGGGACAGAGACTCAACTGATGATGAGAGATTAGTTAGGCCTAGATTGAAACTACTGAGGGATCTTGAGGTGGGTCTGGTGGATTGGACAAGGTGGGGGTGCCCGTTTCAAACAGAGGTGAGGGGAGATGTTTCCTCTCTATTGAGATTTAGGAATTCCGTGCCTGAGAAAGTGCTGGAGGCAGAGCCTTGGTTATATTTTGAGAGGAATGTTGTGGAGCAAGGTGGGGTTTGGGTTAAAGGTTTCTGGAGGATGCAGAGACCTGGGGTCAATTTCACAAGCAAACCAGCCCCGAGCGAACTGGATGGCGGAACAGGCCAGAGGGGCTGAATGGCCTTGTCCTGACTCTGAGGTTGGGGGGTTGGAGGGAGATACCGCTCGCCAGAGTCAGAGAAACCGACTCGGAATCTCAGTCGATATTACCCTAAAACAACACGACCTGGGAGTCATTGTCGCACAGCTGTTTTTGTGGGATCCTGCTGTGCACACATTGGTCACGGCAATTCCTGCAGTGACCGCATTTCGGAACGAAAAGTCTCTGGAAGATCCTGAGAGGGCGACAGGCGCTAGAGAAATGTGGACTTTGCAATTGCTGTACGGGACAACACCCCCGCCCAGTGGTCACACCGTGCTATTACAATGACAGCCCTCAACGTAATCTGCTCTGGGGTGTGTGTGTGGGAAGTTTGTAGGGGCTGGAGGGGGATACAGAGATAGGGAGGGGGTGTAGGGGCTG